TTAATAAACTTTCACTGTATTATTTCAAGTAATTAACATAAATTCGAAACACCCATGGATGGTATTATGTATTATCTATCATTGTATTTTATTGTTATATAACTATTATTATTAAAAATATTAACATTTAAATATTACAACATTAAGGTGTAATAATATGGAGAGATGACGAATACAAGGGGCTCATGAACATTTATTTAGGACTTTAAACAGATTGAAATTCTCTTTTGTTGTTGACTTTTGTGTGGTGTAATCAGCAAAGGATAATCCACCGCTCTATTATGTTGTACCTTACGAATATATATCTCATATGATAGTATATCCCACAAGATCTACGGTGTATAAGGTTTGGGATAAAACCTGTTTTAATCAACCTTTCGTGATACATGTATATAATCCTTTGGAATATGTGTGCTTTACTCAAAAATTGACCATACGCGTTCCACACTGAAACGATTTACACAAACTCGATATGCACTGGTGGTGATAGCCGAGCACAAATAGAATATTGTAGTTATCGATTTTAGATGAGCGTTCATAGTAGTAATATCAGCGTTTATTATATATATAACTCAATGCACGCGAGGACACTCGTACAAAGGTTAACTTATATAGATTGCACATATCATTGCGAGTGGTTGTGCGAAGCAAAATTTTTCAGCAAAACAACCTGTTTACTTTTATGTGAATCGAATCTATAAGCTCTACGTTACCACTACACCTTAGGTCAGGCTACAATTATTTAGATTTGTCCGATTTTAATCCGAGAATGGTCGCTAGCTTATAACTAAAATGACATTTATTTATTTATTAGAATTAATACAATGTTTATAAAAATAACAAAAAGTACAACTTAAAACTAAAATTATCTTAAAGCCATATTCCCCATAGCCAAATGCCAAAACCGCTAGCTGCGTTTCCTCGCAGTCCATTTGGAATGTAATATAATAAAATAGAACAGAACAGAATAGAAAGGAATATAATATAATAAAATAAGATTGAAAGTATAGGATAGGATACAATACGATATAATATTTTTGTTTAGAAAATTGAAAAAAAAACCTTAAATCCACCTGACTATAATTGGTAAAACAGTAGTGCAAGTGCAGCTATTTAGCGGAAGAAATAGGTAAGAAGGTGGTTCAGACTCAGGCGAGTCCTACGTAGAGAAGGATACTACCGATAAAAATTGAAAACATGTATTGTGAGTACATATGTATGCTTATACATCTCATTGGTATTGATTCGTTTTACATTTTTCTCTATAGAGTAATTGACTCCGTGTAGTCTATGTCACGTGATATTTTGCATATTTTCTGTAGTCGTGTCTTAACTAAAATCATTGTACTAGGTTAAGTAATGGAATGTCTTCCATTATCTGCAACTCCCAATCAAATATTACAGAGAATATATTATAATCTGTTGCTATAACCTAAACTTAAGGTAATATTTTATTTTCTTTTTTTGTTAGTCACTGGAATTGAAATAGATACGATAAGATGTAAAGTTTTTTTTATAGACAAGACATTTTATTTCTTTTACAGTGCAGTCCTAGAAAACAAAAGAAGAATTCTAAAATGTTAGTGTTAGTACACGAAAAAAACGGGATAATATGTAAATGTGACGTAAAAAAGACGGTACAATTGCAATATGTTATCAGCACAAGTTGACAAGACTAGAAGTCTTTTCAACTTTTATTTCTTGTTTAGTGCGAACGTAGAAAACAAAAAAAAAACAAAAATATTTGTACGCCTATACAAAGAAAACAAATTATATATATAAATTTAACGTAAACAAGACGGACTTTTACAATATTTTATCAGTACAAATTGAAAATACTTCTCAGAGGCAGAAAATTTTCACAACGGTACAAAGCACAATGTCGTGTCGCATTGTAAATAATTATCATCTTCTGAAACAACACATTTTATAGACAAAGAATGTGACAGTCTAAGAACGCAATTAAAATTTCAAACATGCGTAAAATTAAAAGTGAATAACATTTTGCATCGGTATCTTATACACTCTTACTTTTGCTGATCAGTATAATTTTTAATTTATGATTAGTATATTGCATTATCAGTAGATACAGAAAACTCATTGTAATCACATATTTCGTGGAATTATTTTCTTCATTATGCTGCCATTCTATATAAATCACAGAAAATACATAAACATGAAAAAGGGCCGCGTTCAGTACAAACGACGTTTGGGGCTGTCGTTTTTACCGATAAAAAATTCGAGATCGAAATGGGTGTCAAGATACATACAGCAGTTCTTTAAATCTTAATTAAAAGAATTAAAAAGTTTCTTAAATTTATTTAAAACGAAACATGTTTTAAAAGGCCTTTGCCTAAGTCGAGAATTAGACCAACTCAAACTTGAATAATTAAAAATTAAAAACCTTGTACAATCGAATTCAATGTAAATTATTAAGAGTAACTTAAAAACTATTGGTCAGACCTTGATAAAATTTATATGGAACTACAAGTGAAGCACCGGCTTTCAAAAATAAAAAATAAATAATCGAAAGCGGTATACCCGGATTAATATATGAGGTAACACACATAACTTCTCAAACGTCCACGATGACTACAGTCCCCAAAAACAATTATTGCCTCACCTGTCTAGTCACCAAATGACATCTTTCGGTTTAAACGGTTATTAATACAGTAAAAAATTATAGATGGTGCTATATAAAATTTGTCATCTGTGAAAGTGAATTATATCTGTATAATAGTACCAAAACATTTAGAAAAAAAAAGTTAAAATTAAATTTCGCCATTGTTGTTTGTGGAATGTTAACGTGTGATAAATTCGATAAAAAATATGATAAGTTTTCTGTTTTTATGAGTTATTTCTAATGTTATAGTACATCAAACTAATTCTGAAAATATTTTCTTTAGTAAATATATATCATTATGACAATTCTAAAACGTTTACATATAATAATTTAGCTCTAAATTTTAATTACTATACGCGATCATCGTTTATTGAGTATATGTTGTTTAAAATGAATTCTAATCAGTTTTTTGTGATAAATGAATGCTAAATATAAAATAATGATTCACTATTAACACGTTGATAGCAACTTATAAACGAAATATCTGTTGAGATGTGTCTAGAAATTATTAAAACCTATTTTTATTTATTTATTAATTTATTTATTCAAATTTATATTGGGTAGACATTATATATGTATATTTATTATATAAGATATTATTAATATTGGTGTCATTTTAGAGGGAATATCGTGTACTATTATAATATAAAATAATTGTCTCCAGTAAGTATTATACTTTTCTTGTAAAACCCGAAATAAAAAATAAATACGATTTTTTTATATTCCCTGAAGCTTTATATTCAGCCTTTATTTTTAATTTGACTAATTTTCTTTTAACAAAATTTAATTTTGTTTTTTGAGAATATTTTTTATTTTAATGTAGCTATGGTAGTTTTTCAGAAGGAGTTGTTTTTGTTAAGACAGTCTCGCGCGGTCGTAAAAAATTTAATGCGCAGACAAGTCAGGCGAGAATCACTTGCACGGGGTGGACGGTTAAGTGGATAAAAAGAAAACATATAGTCGAATTGTGTACCTCCTCCTGTTTGAAGGCGGTAGAAAAAAAATAGCATTAATTTTGTTACTTAATTGTATTTGTTACGGCTTGAATGTTTCACAATGTGTTTCGTAGGGTGGTTTCGGGAACCAGAGAACAACCAGACCAAGGGCTGGCTAACCCGATGATCCCAATCAGGAAGTAAATGAAAATAGCTTTAGAACTGGGTAGATAAGGCAAGGATACTCACAAGACTGGAGCACTCCTCGTGGTTATGGTGAAGTCTAAATATTTAGGCTGAAGTTCTCGTGTATACACAGACACCACACTGCACTTCGAATGTATATGGACACGAGCAATTGCACGATAGTCTTACAACTTATTTATTGAGTATTTTTAAACGAGCAGTAACGAACACGTTTTATGCGTGCGCGGCCATCTTGCTTCTTCCTTTTCTTGACGATAGGTGGCGCACCATTTTGAGTAGTGCGTATATGGGGGAGGCGGGAGTATAGGAAATACTTAGGAAAAGGATATTATATCGGGACTGTTCCGAGCCACAACATTCCCTCCTACCTGAAATCACCTAGGGATTTCACAAGACAAGCATCGACCCGGCAGCTCTCCAGGTCCCCAGTTGCTCATAGAATAAAAATTAATATAAACCAAATAGATACCTGAGCTAAGTTGTGCATTGATAACCTTAACTAAACTACAAAAGAAAATCAAACTTAGTTAATTTAATTGTAAAATTATAACTTACAATCTAGCTTAATAAAACAATAAAAATAAGATTCAATCAAGAGGAAGAGGGCAGACTTTGACTACTGGTCTTGTAAGTAAGCCTCTTTTAGTCTTTAAGGTCACAACCCGGATAATATTGTCCTTTCCGGGGTGGATTTGGACTACTCGACCTAGGCGCCATTCGTTAGGTGGTAGATTAGGTTCAATGATTGAAACGAGTTGACCAATATTAGGATGTTTGTGATCATCCTTTCACCACTTAACTTTTTGTTGGAGCGTATGTAAATAATCATTTTGCCAAATACGCCAAAAACTTTGAGAGAGCTTTTGAAGTAACTGCCAGCGTGTTCTAGGATTAATATCTTCAACAGACGGTTCTGGTAGAGCGACTAAAGGACGTCCTATAATAAAATGACCGGCCGTGAGAACATCAACTTCGCCAGGATCAGACGATAACTGACAAATCGGTCTTGAGTTCAGCATCATTTAGTTAAAACTGTAGTTAGTTCTTCAAACGTCAGGACTTGTGAGCCTATGACCGTCTTGAGATAATATTTAGTACATTTTATAACACTTTCAAAAATGCCTCCAAAGTAGTGATAGTGGATTTAGTTTCCAAGAGATTCCACGAGACGTTAATTGATCAGAAATAACCTGTTTTTTATCTATCAATAATTTAACCATTTCCTCAAGATATCTTTAAGCGCCTACAAAGTTAGTGCCACAATCTGTCACAATATGTTGACATATTCCACGTCGAGACACGAACCTGTCTAGGGCGGCTAGAAACGCTTCTGTAGACAGTTCAGATACGAGTTCTAAATGAACTGCTTTTACAGATAAGCAAATGAACAAGCATATGTAAGCCTTACTGACCCGTGCGTTACGTCGTCTGTTTTCTTTTATAAGAAAAGGACCGCCAAAGTCGATCCCTACCTGTTGAAAACAGTAACCTTGTTGAGATCTACAAGGTTGCAGGTTGCCCATAGATGGCTGATAGGGTACAGGTTTAACCCGAAAGCAAGTCACACACTTTGTTAAAATAGAACGAATAAGATTTCTAATTCCTAAAATCCAGAACTTGCGAACTAATAGAGATTGTAACGTGCGAGGTCCACAGTGCAAATACCGTTTATGATAATAGCTAATAATTAATTGAGATAAAATAGATTGTTTCGGTAACAAATATGGTTGTTTTGTGTGCTCAGGTATATTGAAATTAGTAAGTCGTCCACCCACTCGCATGAGTCCTAGGTTATCAATAAACGGAGACAACTTTTGTAAGTATTTAGGTAGAGGCTTCTGCGATTTTAATTGAGACATCTCTTGATTGAAGCTGCCCTATTGGACATATTTAATAAGGCTAAGCAGAGAGCACTTTACCTCATTCGTAGTCAAGTGACCTTTCTCGCGTTGGCTTTGTTCTTTGCGCGAATTAGAAATGAAGCGAAAGACCCATGCCAATACTCGTTGTAGTCGCGATAAGGATGAATACCGATTTAATAACACCTTTATAATGTCTTTATCAGATTCCCGAGATTGAGCAATCAGAGTGCGTGTTCTGAACTCTGGCAACTCATCTTGGGGCTCACACCGACTTTGAGCTGGCCAGTGATCTGGACCACTAAGCATCCAATCTGGTCCTGACCACCATCGCGTACAATTGACCAATTCTGCACACGAGAGACCTCGGCTAGGAAAGTCAGCAGGATTGTCCTGATTCAAGACATGCCTCCAGATAGAAGGTTCAAATGCGTCAGTTATTTTAACTACTCGATGTGCAACAAAAGGTTTCAGTTTGTAAGGCTCGGTATTGATCCAAGTTAATACAGTTGAGCTATCAGTGTAGGTAACAATATGAGATATATTTATTTTCGAAATAAGTAAAGTTTGCATGTGTTTGAGAGTACGTGATAACAAGAGCGCACCGCACAACTCCAAACGATTAACTGTTAGAGGCTTAATCGGAGCCACTTTAGATTTAGAAATCAAAAGAGAAACTTGTTTTTGATCATCGATACTTGATCGAAGATAGACACAGCACCCATATGCTTTGGTTGATCCATCGCAAAACCCAATCAGCTGGTGTGTAGCTGCTAAGTCAATCACGGTTTTACGAGGGATTTTTATCGATTTTATATTAGACAAGTCAGACACAAATGAAACCCAATCGTCACACAGATTGGCGGGAATGATTTCATCCTAAGACAATCCAATACGCCATAAGTGTTGAAGAAGTAGTTTGGCTAAAAGAATAAAAGGTGAAAGCCAACCCAACGGATCATAAATACGAGCTACGTGGGACAGGATTGAACGTTTCGTAAACTCCACATTCACAGGAGAGACGGAGTAAGTGAAATAGTCTTCCTCAGGATCCCATTGAACTCCCAAAACCTTAAGCTTTATTGAACTATCATCAGAAAATGTCTTCGGACACTGACAATGTTCCATGGGTAACGATCGAAGAAATAAAGGGCTGTTACTGCTCCACTTACGCAAATCTAGCTGAGCACAATTAAGGAGATTGATTAAATCTTCTTTAAGCTGAGAGGCTGCTTCGACTGAGGACGCACCTGTAGTAATATCATCCATATAAGTATGATGCCGAAGAGCTTCAGCAGCATGAGGAAACTGATCACCGTGATCTGTAGCTAATTGATGTAATGTTCGTATCGCTAAGTACGGCGAGCTTTTGACTCCGTATGTGACCGTACGAAGTTCAAATTCTTGAACAGGCAAGGAAGGGGATTCATGCCATAGTACGTGTTGCCACACTCGATCCTCAGGCCTTATCAAGATTTGCCTGTACATCTTAGATATGTCACATGTAAACACTACATTATGGACCCGAAATCCAGTAATAATATCAACCAAATCAGCCTGTAACTTCGGTCCAGTGTAAACAATATCATTTAAAGATAGTCCATTTGTCGTCTTGTGACTCGCATTGAATACAACGCGAAGTTTGGTCGTTATGCTTTCTGGACGAATCACACAATGGTGAGGAATGAAATATCTACCAGGTGTAGTATCCTTTCCCACTGGTTGCATATGGTTAAGCTGCTCATAATCACGCATAAAATCGTTATAGAGTGATTTAAGTTCTGGTTGTCGGCAAAGTTTTTTCTCAAGATTTATAAACTGCGACAAAGAACTATTATATGAGCCTCCCATATAGACAGACGACTGCTTCAATAAGATAGGAACTACATATCTACCGTCCGATTTCCTATAAGTTTGAGTGGAATACAGGCGTTCGACCTCCTCATCTTCTGGAGCAGGTATATGTTGATGAGGCGGTTCCTCGACTTCCCAAAATCGTTTCATCATCTTCTCCAATGAGTTGGTTGAAGTAATTAACGAAGTGCCAACCGATTTTACCGGACTCTCCACATTGGTGGGTCCTGAGAGCACCCAACCAAAGACGCTATGTAAAGCAGCAGGATAGCCGGGCTCTGGGTGAATGACACGGCCGTCATAGATGTGATGAAATACTTCCGCACCTAGCAATAAATCAACATCAGACCGTTTGTCAAAGTCACGGTCCGCTAATACTAAGTGTTTGTAACAGTCTCGAACCGCTAGAGGAATATCAGTGGTTGGCATTTTAGAAGTAATGCTATCGATGACTATAGGATTAATATCAAATTACGGGCCATTCGAATCACACGGGCGTATAGAGCATTGAGTCACTCCCTTGACTTGACACACAGACTGTTGTCCAAGTCCAGCCACAGTTGTGGTACATCGACGCAATTGAAAGCCAAGTCTCTTTGCGCATTTCATAGTGATGAAGCAGTCCTGAGCGCCGCTATCGATCAGCGCTCTAACTTGATGGAACGTGCCACTAGAGTCCTGCACACGCACCATACACGTCCCGAGCAGCACCACGCACGGGCCACGAGCCTCTCCCACGAACGCACTCGTGTTAGTGTGGGCGCTACTCGAACCGGTGGTCACCGCGGTCGGTGATCGAACTTGGTTGTCGATGTGTACTAGAGTGTGATGATTACCACTACATATAAAACATCTCATTTTTGATACGCATTTATCAAGAGAATGTTTTCGTAAACAGTTAATACATAAATCATTTTGTTTGACAATATTTATTCTAGCACTGGTGTCCAAAGATTGAAACGTGGGGCACTTATAGATACTGTGCGCTGCGCCACAATAATAGCATGCTAGTGAAGCCAGCTGCTTCGAACTAGTAGGCTTAGACTGAGTAGTGAGCACGGAACGTTTCAGGTTCGGTGCCCGCGGTGAAACATTCTTGATCTGTTTACCGCCTAAAAATTGAGAAGATCGTGCCCTAATGTCAACATTAGCATTTATTTCTAAAACTTTTACATAGTTTTGAAGAAACTGCATAAGACTTTGAAAAGAAGGAATTTCCGATTTATTTTCAGATTCGAAGCGGTGGCGTGTATCTGAGTCCAGTGCGCGAAACGCTGCGTTAAATAAAATAAAATCGCCTAAGTCATCTAGCTCTAAGGCCTTAAGGGCATTGACTGACTCACAAAGAATATTAGTATATGTTTGTAAATCATTGAAATTAGGAGTTTTTAAATAAGGATAGTTATTTATTTGATCTAAATACGCCACGGCTAAAATGCGCTTATTTTGATAACGCTTAATAAGTTCATTGAATACAAGCTCATAATTATCGGAAGTTAATTTTACCTTCTTTGCGATCCCTAAGGCGGATCCCGATAAACAAGAAATGAGATAGTGAAATTTAGTAATATTCGCGATTGATTTATTATTATGAATTAAGGTTACGAAAGTGTCGTAAAATGTTTGCCAATTCTCAATTTTTCCGTCGAACTTCAGAAGCTCAATTTGTGGCAGTCTAGCTTGTATCTTTTCCGCGTCGGGCGTAAAGGTGTAGTTAAAGTCAGCGGACGATGGGCTGGTGCTTCGTTTGCGCTCCGGTAGGGACATCTCTGCGGCAAAACTTAGGACTTCATAGTACATATCATCAAATGCAGACAACGCTTGCATATCTATTTTTTCTTTAGGAAACAGTGTCAGTTTTAACGAATTAATTTTTTCCGTAAGCAACACATATTCATCACGAATATTCTCAATTTTAAGAAATCTAGATTTAAATTGGCTAACTTTAGATGAACTGGAGTCTGGTATTTGAGTGGATAAATCAAAAAGAGTTTGAATAGAACGAAAAACATACTCTCGCTGTGACGTATAAAGTTTAAGTTTCATTTCTTCTTGCGACATGATTATAAAATAACAGCGAAATATTAAATATGAATGCTAAGTATAATTATTAACGACAGATATTTAAATCAATATTTAAGTTTGTCAAAACTAAATTAACACTCAAATACTGAATTTAATGTTTTTTAACTGTTTGAATTAGATACCAATTAACAAACGACTCATCATTCAAAAATATACAAGTATTCATACTTAAGTGCTATTATTCCAAGACCAAATGAATCATTTCCATAAACTGATTTAGTAATTTTTTCCAACAATAATTATAAAATACCCTCAAATTATAATAATTTTCAAAGCGTAAGACTATCAATGCACATTCGAAATAAACTTGGCAATTATAACGCAACCAAATAAGATAAGTCTACAAAGTCTGAGCAATATGAAACACTTCACGAACATTCAAGTCTAGCAGGATTATAATTGAAATGAATTAGTTACTTTCAATTATAAGAAAAATAGATTAAATATCAAAGTTTTCCTTAGAAATTGAACTTGATATTATGTTAATAAGGAGCAGACGTATAAAAATAGAAATCCGTAGGTACCCGGATCGTATGGACCAGAAATTATGTTACGGCTTGAATGTTTTACAATGTGTTTCGTAGGGTGGTTTTGGGAACCAGAGAACAACCAGACCAAGGGCTGGCTAACCCGATGATCCCAATCAGGAAGTAAATGAAAATAGCTTTAGAACTGGGTAGATAAGGCAAGGATACTCACAAGACTGGAGCACTCCTCGTGGTTATGGTGAAGTCTAAATATTTAGGCTGAAGTTCTCGTGTATACACAGACACCACACTGCACTTCGAATGTATATGGACACGAGCAATTGCACGATAGTCTTACAACTTATTTATTGAGTATTTTTAAACGAGCAGTAACGAACACGTTTTATGCGTGCGCGGCCATCTTGCTTCTTCCTCTTCTAGACGATAGGTGGCGCACCATTTTGAGTAGTGCGTATATGGGGGAGGCGGGAGGATAGGAAATACTTAGGAAAAGGATATTATATCGGGACTGTTCCGAAGCCACAACAGATATAGTGACGGCCAAGAATTTGTTGTTTAATTCCATGCCAACAACAAAGCGCAAGATAGTCCGGAAAAAGGTCGGTAAAACATTGCGAGACATAGATGATATTATTTGCCTTTTAAGGGATGCGAACTCTGATGATATTCCTGTGTTTGTTGCGCGGGATCTAGAAAAATTACCCCCCGTGTTGTTTGATCATATCGACGTCACGAGACTTCTAAAAGATATAGTTAAGCTGCAGCTAGACATTAACATGATTAAAGAGGAGTATGCTACTGTGGAAAACATAAATATATTGAAGGGTGAAGTCGAGATGCTGAAAAATGCGTCGCTAGTAAATAACTACAGGCGTAACGTAAATCAAAGACGCGGTGCGTATTTGATTGACAGTTTTAAGTGCCACAGTGGACCTATGGTGTTGCCACCTATGGGTTATGATGGTATTATTCAAGTTAATGAACAAATTGATCCATCATTACGAGAACCGATATATCGAGACATGGGTGATAAAATTAATTTAACGGAGGGTAATCACTCCTCGCCGAAACTTGACGAAGCAATCCGACGAGAATTAAATACAGTTACGATGACTCACCCAACCCAGCTGAGCAACCCGCCGCAGCCAATACTACTACTGTTAACCGGCTTAATATGAATGGGACACTCAGGGCTGCCCCGTGCAGTGTCGATCCTGCGATTGCTTAAACTAAATCTATGACTGAAATAGTCCGGGATGGTCAATGGCAACCGGAAAAGCGGAGTGAGGAATGGATTCACGTACAAAGAAAAAGATTACGTAATCGCTTTTTAGGAAATAGAGGGAAAGTTATATTAAAGCCCGATGATAATTTTAGGGTAGCAGAAATTAAAGTTCCTATGTATATTTATAACGTGGCAAAGGGAGTATCCGTGTGTGATATCACTGGCTATATTAAGAAAAAGAGTAATATAGAAGTAAACATAGAGAAAATGAATATGAAATAGACAAAAGACTATGAATCCTATAAGATATTTGTACCTAAACATAAATTGAATATATTTATGTCAGAAGACTTTTGGCCGGAAGGGGTTGCCTATCGTCGGTTTATTGACTTTAAGCAACGTGATACAGGGAGCACTCATTAGACTGGCGGGAAGAATTAAAACCATGATGGCTGGTATCGTTAAACTAGTAAGTTTCAATTGTAAGAATGTTGTCAGATCGTTGGAATTTGTGCGTTGAATATGTCGTTCAGCTGACATAGTTGCGGTGCAGGAGACCTGGCTGCTGCCGCACGACCTCGCGTACCTGAGAAGCATTGACAACGACTTCGCCTTCACTGATGATGACTTGATGGCTAGCATTATTGAGAGCCATAATGTGGAGTTAGTGTTTATGTTAGGGGATCACAATGCGCACCCTGGTGAGTCTTTTGCTACTGAACTATTGAATTTTTGTTTTGAACAGTCATGGTCGTCTGTGGACATGGCGCTTCTAGTATCGGATAGTCACACGTTCGTCAGTGACGCTCATGGCTGCCGCCGCTGGCTTTATGCCGGTGCTTTATAATACTTATTGGTCCGATCACTATCCTGTCTTAGTAAACTGTAATTTTAATATTTTTAACCTAAGATAACTACAATAGAAAATATTTGTATGAATAAAATCACATGGGTTGAACGTGATACTAACTAAATATTAAAATATTATAGTGAATGTCATTCTAGACTAAGAAACCTAGATTTTCCTGTGGAATTTATGAATTGTTGTGACAGTATGTGTAATAGTAGTAATCACAGAAAATTGTTAGATGACTTGTAAAAAAATATCATGTGTATACTTTCTGAAGCTGCTGTTTGCAGCCATAATATTAGAAAATAGCGATATGTTTAGTACCTACCAGGTTGGAATAGACACGTCCGTCATGCTCACGGTAGGGCTCGATTTTGCTTTCAGATGTGGTCATTGTACGGCAGACCCAGCTCTGGCCGATTTTATAATGAAATGTGTGAATCCAGGCGAATTTTTAAATCTAAACTGAAATGGTGTCAGAACAATCAACAACAAATAAAAATGGATATGATTGCTGAGCATAACAAAAATAATAAATTCGGGCAATTTTGAAAAAATACGAACAAATTGAACTATAAGGCGAGCTTTTCTGTGAGCGTGGCGGGTGTTCATGAGCCACGTGATATCGCCAATATGTTCCAGCGGCACTTTAAGGTAGACTCTCCACTGGATCCAATACGGCGAGAGCTTGATGCTGAGGCGTGCAGTACATATCTTAGTGTTAAATTTAGCGCGCAAGAAGTAGAGGAAATAATTAACGGCATGGTGCGGGGCAAATCACCTAGATATGACAGCCTCAGCATCGAGCATCTACAGTCCGCAGGAGTACACTTGCCAACTTTGTTTTTTAATCTTTGTGTAGCACATTCTTATCTACCTGAAAGCCTAATACCTACTATAGTTGTACTTGTTATAAAAAACAAGACCGGTGACTCATCAGATGTGTCTAATTATAGGCCAATATCCCCGGCTACGGTGATTGCGAAAGTACTGGACAGTTTGCTCAGTCGGCGCCTAAATAAGTACGTCTCGCTCAATGACGCACAGTTCGGCTTCAGACCTGGTCTTTCAAACGAGAGTGCTATTTTGTGCCTCAAGCAGACTGTCCAGTACTACACTGCAAGAAAGACACCAGTATATGCTTGCTATTTAGATTTTTCGAAGGCTTTTGACCTTGTATCCTATGAGATCCTGTGGAATAAAATGAATTTTGAGACTGACTTGCCTCGAGAAATTGTATCGCTTTTTAAGTACTGGTATAATAATCAAAAAAACAATGTACGATGGGCAGGCTCGCTTTCTGAGGAGTAAAGGTTGGATTGCGGTGTGAGGCAGGGGGTACTAAGCTCTCCAACGCTTTTCAACCTTTACATGAACGGGTTGATTGATGAGCTTAGCAGCACTGGTATCGGTTGTCATATAGACGGAGTCTGTGTAATCAATATTAGCTACGCAGATGATATGGTGTTGCTGAGCCCATCGAGTGGTGCTCTAAAGAAAATGATTAATATATATGAATCCTATATAGCAGCCCAGGGGCTTAAATACAACGCTATAAAGAGTGAATTTATGATATTTAGACCGGATAATAAACGTTACACTATATACCAAATTTTACGTTAGGTAGTACTCCTTTAAAGAAGGTGGAGTGTTTTAGGTATTTGGGCCACTGGGTCACGGAGGATCAAAAAGACAACTTCGATATTGAATAAAGAGAAGGGCGCTGTCTGTCCGCTGCAACATGTTCGCTCGCAGATTTGCACGACGTTCTAGTCAAGTTAAAGTTACGCTTTTTAAAGCTTATTGCCAGTCCTTTTACACGTGCAGTCTGTGGGTAGACTATACGCAGAGGGCATACAGCGACCTGCGCATACAATATAATAACGCGTTCAGGGTGCTGAGGGTTCTGCCGCGCTGCTGCAGCGCCTTCGTCATGTGCGCGGAAGCTCACACGGACGGATTCGCTGCAATCATGCGCAAGCGCTGTACATCGCTACTTCGGCGCGTGCGCGGCAGCCCTAACAGCATCCTGCGTACGCTGGCTGACCGTTGGGACTCGCCGATGTTGGCTCGCTGGATACGGCTACATGCTGCCTTGTAGACTGGCTTATTGCCACCATCGGTTCAGTTTCATACTTGTGTCGTCAACAATATGTTACTAACATAGATATAAGTAAACATTTACTAACAACTATGGATTTTTTTTTGTCCGAAATAAATGAATTATTATTATTATTACTAAGCGTGAATAAATTATTAAGCGTCTACTAACTATGTCATCGTTATAAATATCACTAAAATAATTTACTATATTTATTAAATCAAGCTTATGACCAGTTGAAGTCTGAAAAATAAAATCATCGTAAATAATTTTAAACTAAATTGACTTGTTGTTGTTTTTACGATTCGTCAATTAAGGCAGCCAAAACTATACAGCCTAGTAGCATTTTATTCACAAAAATCTATTATATAAATTTATTAACTATATTTAGAAAATATATTAATGTGTCACATTGCGAAGTGATTGGTAGATTTTAGCGGCAGCTTAACCTAGCGTATAGTTAATGACGATAATATGTCAAGGAACCGATAAAAAAACTTAAGATTTATATCTTATATATCAATTAAAGTTAAGGTATATTTTACATACGTTTAATAAAAAGTTGTTATTTTGAAATTAAAAAAGACACTTCAATTTTATTTATGTGTATGTATATGTATGTATAGATTTACAAACATTTTTTACCTCGTTTCCACTTTTGGTTCACCCACTTTTGCGCATCGAAATTCACACTTAACGGTTATTTATATAATAAAACAGGAGCAGCAATCCACCTGAACCACCAAAACGACTGTTTCTTAAAATAACTCTAAGTTGATTAGTTTACTGATAATAAAACATAAGTTTGTTATGGAAAATAAAAATCTAGGCCAAATTACATAAAATGATTTGTAATTTGTAAAATGATTATACAAATAAAAATAAATAAAATAAAGTTAAATATGTTTATGCTAAGAATAGAGAGAGATTTCATTTAAAACTTTTCATAAGTTACTTGCGCGTGCATCTTGATGTTTTGTATGTTCCATCGATTTTGCGTAATTATCTACTTTATTGATAGCTTCTGCTTATAATCTCTGTGTTTTTCAGTTCCTTGAGTGACTAGTATTTGCCTAAGGATTCTGATTATCTGCCTATACGGCAACATTTTTCGACCATGTTTAATACCTTGAACTTTGTTGTGTATACATTGATTTGTTTATCACAATGGAAAGCCGTGTAAGGCCTACGCGCATTACGTGGGTCAACTGCAATATATGTGTCAATAAATAGAGCCGATGACGGGTGCATTGTCAATTGATTCAGGAGTCACATTCTCAAAATATTATATACACCGGTTTTCTTGATGACATTGTGGTAAAGGATGACGAAGAATAAATATTTTTATTTTTTTTTATTACAGTAAAATCTGTTTTCTACGGCTTCGTCTGTAATTACCAACCGTTTTATATGCGACTTAGATGAGAAGTCAAGTTAGATTTTATACCACTTTCTTGAAAATACATCCGTTTATTTTGACTCCGGTTTAAGCGTCCAACCGCTTTGAGCGACATAATTTTATAAAAAGCGTCCTGTTATAACGACCCAGGTTTTTAATTTGTTTGCAATACCTCGCCATATCCGCTCGCTCTCCTCACGTTTGATTGCCAACGTAAATGAGTAAATTAAATAAAAATAAAATTTATGGATTTCATTTAAGTTTAGTATGTACATATACAGGTTGTCTTAAAACGTGTCAAGCGGAAGTCCAGAGATAGATCAGCCCTTGGAGTACCTAAATCACCACCATGTATGTTCCGCAAAATTCATAGTATTGATGTTATGAATTTTATTCTGAATTTTTGACAATTTTCAACCTGAACAACTTAAAAAAATAAAATAAAAATATAAGAAGGCTTTTTGGAGAACTCTTTTAGCGACTGAATCTTATTGAGTTGTACTTTAATGCTTAAAATAAACAGCTTCGTAAATTTGATAAAATTATGGAAATATTGGTGTAAAGTGAAAAATTTACGTTTGGTGAGTTATAACTTACCCCGTGTAGTGGCGGGAGAGAATACCCACTACCCCATATCTTCCCATCGGTGTCGTAAGATTTTTTTACGTAGGTGTTTTTTGTTCATCTGTCTTTCAGTTCATTTCAGTTCTTTACTGTTGTTTTGGATTGTGGTTTGTGACTACAATTACAAAAACATAGTATTGTTTTATTTACCTACACTGAAAAGTCGAGAACGTCGTCATTATCAAACTGTCCGCTGCTGGATCGTGATATCTCCTAATGCATTAGGAGATATCACGATCCAGCAGCGGAGTAGTTACGATCCTCATCTCAATCTACCTACTTAATGACAAGTAAACACTACAAAGGTAGCGAAAATCAATCTAAAACATTTACTTTATCAACAAAACAATGTTTATGTGCCTATATGTAACAATCTACATTGGTAAACTACTATATCTTAAAAAATAAAACTGGTTATCACGTTCCAAGTTTAAAAAATCTAAGAATTTAAAAAGGACTTGTCTATCGTACTAACTAACAATTAAAACAAAAATTATCCCAAAATTATTTTTGTTATGAAATTCCCATACAAGAGTGCCGTTCGTCTTTGTGAAATTGGTGTACTTCCTTACCATGGTGAAAACCTATCTTTTTCATGCCATTAAAAAAAATATGTTTTAATTACTAAGTTGTATTTAACTAGCTGTATTTTATTCACATGTGTACCTAATAAACACATATTTGGTATACATGTAAATAAAATACAAATATAGAAGAACCAATTTACATTACCAATTTTTATAATACCGAGAAGTAAATCAGTAGAACAGTTTTAATAAGATTGTTTTATGTGCCAGCCGGGCTTCCGTAATCCACTTTACGCCCCTCCGGGAGTGACCTTATCGCCGGTTTACCTTCCGGAGATTCTTTGCA